GGGTCGTGGCTTGACGACCAGAGGGGGAGAGAAGGAACACAGGAGTGAGTGAGTTTACACATAAACACACTTATTAGAAAATAATCCTAAAAACACACTGAGGGTAGAACATATTATTCAATATTTTCATAAAATAAACAAATTATTCTTATAGAGATTCTTATTCATGTGAGAATTTGGGGAAGATTTAATTTGTTACAATATAGATAGCAGGCAAATCTTTATTTGAATGGAAAATGTTAAAGGTAGAGCTAGTACCAAGCCAAAGAAAGTATTCCAATCTAGAGTATTGGTTTCACCATTGTAGCATGGTTGTTACCACAGGAGAACTGTTAAGGTGGAAACAACATTTGTTTGTTGTCCAAGATGTAGAGTTTTAAAAAGACACTAGGCAAAGAGCGATTGAAGATTTTAATTTTGAAAAAACTAGTACAATTGGGAGTAATACATGCAGGGCCTTGGATCACTCATTTTAATGGTGCATATTTTCAACAATAAATATCGCTCAGGGAGAAGGGGTCGCTCAACCCACCCTGCAGATGTTTTAAATCTTACTTGCAGCTTCAGAGGGAGCGCACGGCACCAGAGTATGAGTTTTAAAAGACAAGTGCCACCACCTCCTAATGCTCCTCCATTTAATCAGTGATGACCTGACATTTAGAGATGTTATTTAAAAGGAGAAACATATCTGCCATGAGTGAACATTCCTGAATTGAACTACAAACCATTAAATGACTTCTGTTTTTGAAGTCCTTGTTAGAGCACCCAAGGTTCCACACACTGTTAAAGGGGGTTAGCATAGTTATTTAAGTAGACCAGAAATGAAAATAAATTAGTATAATGAGTTATTGATATTCCACCGGTTTTCACACCATTTCAGGGACTTTATCACTGCATTAGAACAGACCACCCCAAAGCCAGTAGGGCTAAGAGACCAGTCCCAGGGGGAGTTTAGGCTCCAGGGTAAAAGGATAGCATAGGGGCGCCCAGGGGAGGCCTAAATGTAGCACTCATTCCATGTCCTAAAATACCGATTGATCACGACGGCCTCTTCTAGAGAACATATTACTTTCATACCTTAAATGGTATGAAAGGAGGGAGGGTACATTTCTCATGAGGAGACAGTTACAAATGCTAGTAGAACAAGACGGCCCACCCCAATACAGATGTTGATGAAAATGATGAGTTAGTTTGAATGATGTTAAACGATATGGATGTTCAGAGATGAGGTTGTTCAATGAATGTCCAGCCGATGTGATTCTTTAAATGATGAAATCATGTGAAGAAGTGAGCAAAATAAAATGCTAAAATGGAGTGAATCCATTTCAATTTACTTATACTATTACAAGATAGTTTATTTCATTTTTATTATTTTTCACTGTTCTATATGGTAGATTTCATGTATTTTCGAATCATTACAATTCTAAAATGGGTAGTTTCTTTTCACTTTGTAAAAACAAGTGACTTAACACTGAGCGTGGTATGAGAACGGTTTCTGTGAAAGGAGGGAGGAAGAAATGTTCTGATACCAAGCCATTGCTGCTATTTTGAAGAGCCATATTGAATGTTAACACTAGAAGTTATGCACAAGGGAAAACTTTTATGTTTAAACACAGTCAAAGTATTTCTGTATTTTTGTAAAATTGAGGATATTCGCACTATTCCATTTTGTTTGTATGTTTTTGATATGAATGATGTACTATGCAGAGTTCAGATGAAGAACTCATTGATTTCAGTATTATACACACCTTTTAGGTGTGTAAGGAGGGACTGTTAGAAATTAAAATCAATATTTTGATGGCATAATGTACCTTAAATGTACCTTCAGTTTAAATGCTGTTTTATACTGAAAAACCAGAAAATTATTGTGCACAACCAGTTAAGCTTTTATTCTGAAAATCCTTCATCTCCGGTTAGCATGTGGCTAGTTTACCATTTCTTATAGAGGTTAATTTAGTAGCGAAATGACATGGAGTGATGCACACAGAAACCTACTGATTTTAACACTGCAACTATAGACGTATTATTATTGCTGAATATTAAATGAAGGTATAGTTTATTTGAATAAAGTTATTGTTTACAGACGTGGGTAAGATGTGACAACTTCCGGAATGACCAGAAACCAAACCAGCCGTGAAGTATTTTCTGTATTTTTTAGAATATTAACTACAACGTTTAGAATGTGTTAAAGGAAAAGTGATGAAAGACAATATGAGGAGAAGAGGCGTGTTTAAGTATGTATTGAATGTACAATGGCTGAATCCTCTGTTTAAACGTAACAACGGACATTAAGATGTGGAGGGCCGGCCCGCAGGGAGGAGCCTGCAGAAGCTATATAACAGCAGCACCTGAGCGGTTCGGCCTCTTTTCTCTGCTAGCGAGGGCCAGAGACAGCTGCTTTTCTGTCGGACAATATCCTGTTTGTGACTGTACCGCGCCTTTTATTAATTAAAGTACCAATTTGAAAACATCTCAGAGACTCCATTTAGTCTCCTTTTTAAGCTTCTCTTTCCTGGACGCGAGAATAACCATCACAGTTAACATCGTTGAAAAACATATGCCAAAAGCTTCCGTTATTTATTTTGGTCTCAAGGCTTTCATGTCTATTGGTTTAAACAGCGGGGATAAACTGCTGAACTGCTGTTGTCTTTTGCCGGGCTCCGGTGATTGGCAAATCTGGGTGATGCCTTCTGATATGAATTAGCATGTACATTAGCATACCGCACCGCTATCGAACAACGCCGACACACCGTCCTCGTCCTATCCACCACTCGCGCACTTAATTGTTATTGTAGTCCACAGGGAACCCGAAATGTTCCCACACAGCTGATTTAAAAGAAGCAGGTGGGTTCTAGCTCCTGTGTGTTATCTGAAATCGCCATACTAACTTTTCTTCTTCTTGTATTTTGTTCGTTTTGTTGTGTTTCTTCTTGTTCTTCATTTGTTGTTTAAGGGCGGCTGGCAAACAGCTTTTAGGCGCAATACCGCCCCCTGGATTATAAATAGTGTAATGGATACTGCCCTGAATGTGACTTTGTTTCCCACTCGTAAAAAAAAAGGCGTATTCGTCGTGTGACTGCTTGTGCCGAAACGTGATGTCCGAACAGTGACGGTACGGGACGAATACGGATACCGTTACACCCCTACACGCAGGGCCGTATCCAGGATTTCCTAAATACCGAGGTCCAAACATGTTCGGGGGGTACCCCCCGAGATTTTTGGGATTTTCATGATCTAGTTAGGTGCTTTTTATGTCCTGTGGGGGGTCACAAATTGGATAATATATTGATTTCAAACCAAGTCAGTGGGCTGCAGCATACATTATTTTTGAAGCCAGCCGCCTCTGGCTTCCCTTGGCATGGCCCTGACTAATCACAGGTTGGCAGGGGCATCACGTGAGCCTCATCTGATTGGTCAATCTCTCAATTTTTTTTCACCAAGGGGAGCCAATTTCGGCTGGCCTCCTCTCGCAGCAGAGAGTGCAATCTACTGTTTCACCATAACATCTAGAGGGGCGCTGTTTCACTCTTTGTAAAATACTCAATGAGAATGGGGGAGAGACGGGCCGGCAGCAACACACAACAAATAATTTCCGAAACTAAACGAAGTGTTTTTATTTATTTATTAAAATTATAACTACACTCCGAAAAAACAGGGGAAGCCTGGCTTCCCTTGGCCTCCAGGAGAAACCGCCACTGATTATGACATCATAACTGCAATAGATGTAGGCCTATGTTGTTTAAAAATTATGCCTATTGTAAATTAAGACTATTGTTATAGATACATAGATAGATACATAGATAGATACATAGATGGGCTTATTAAGCCTACATTATTTTGTGTGACTGTACCTGCAGTTCCTCCCTGACTTCCATCACTTGCTCTCTCTCTCTCTTTCTCTCTGCCTGTCCTGTCTCTTCCTTACCAAAGCTGAGCTTCGACTGATGTAGTCTTTTAATTATATCTGAGTCAGTGTAAAAAGAAAACAATACAATGTTATATCTTCAATGTTTTATTCAAATTGAAATGAAAGAAAAGCATTACAACATTTGTTAAAAGGTAATCCTTCTGACATTGGATGAATGTAATTAACTTGAGCTCTCTAGCTAGTTTATTCACGCAATTTAACCCAAAGTATAGCCTATACTATAGCTGCAAAATAAGTTAGTGTGCATGTTGTCGGACGTTCACTGACTAACGTAGAGAGTTCACACAGGATCTGCTGGTCCTATGATGTCCTGATGAACAGAAACACAAGCAGCCCGCTGGACTCAGATCTCTAGATACCTCATCACTCCTTCGCTGCTCCGGTTCAAGTCCGGGCTGCGGAGGTTTGTTGATACATGTCGTCTTCTTCTGTTTGCTTTAATCGAGGCTACGTAGTTATGCAGCGCCCCCATCGTCAGTAAATGGAAGTACTACAAATAACCCCGTTTAGTGCAATTATTTCACAAGTTTTGTTATATACACAACTCGAAAAATATTACCGAGGTCCGGACCTCGGTGACCTCAATGGTAGATACGGCCATGCCTACACGTACATTCTCCTTTTACATACATACATGTTCACTCTTACACACGTACATTCTCCTTTTACATACATACATGTTCACTCTCACACACGTATATATTTACACTCACACATTCATACGTGTTGCTCTCATATTATCATATTTCAATGCACACATTTATATATTGTCACACACATTCATGCATTTTGTTCTCATATTCATATATTTTAATGCTCATATTTATACATTTTGCTCTCATGCACATTCATTCAATGTTTACATTTAATATTATAAATAATATATGCATGTCTGAAGACAATATATGTATGCAAGAGAAGAATGCATGTATGTGTGAGAGAAAAGAGGTTTCTCAATACTCTAATTTCCCCTCCTCGACTCCTCGACTCCTCGGTCCTCCGGTAGTGACCCGGAAATGAATTTCAGCACGCCATGTTGAAGGACATCTCATTTCTCTAAATGCATTTTGAGGACCGAGCATCGAGCGTCGAGGAGGCTCTCTGGAGGAGCTATAACCGAGGAGACACTGATGGGTCCTCCACGCTCCTCCACGGATGCATTTCCAGGAACGGTGGAGTATAAAAGAGGCGTGACATACCGCTGGATTCATTTAAAAACCATGGCGGGAGCAAAGCACAAATGTAAGTGTTGACAATGATACGTTGCATTAGTTATTTAAGAAGTGAAATGCGCGATCAAACTCCGCCCGTCTGTATGCAGTTAGAGCCTTCTAACCGCATTCCTTATTGACATTTCACCTGATATTCTTTATGTTTTTATCCACATTTTAACTACACCCAATCCTGCTACAGCATGCTATGATGTTTAAAAGGGCAAACGTTTATTTATTTTTAAGAGTATTAAATCAACACGAACTTTGTTTAGCATTCAGCACTATCATTTGATTTGGGCTATGTTGTTATATAATCAATTGCTCATTACAGAGTCGGTAAATCTCCCAACAGTTTGAAGCTACACCTTTTTACTTTGTCTTTTCACAGGGACAGAGGAGGAAACTCTGACCCTTATTAAAGTGAGGGTCGAGAATGACGAGCTTTTCACGGGCCGAAGGCACACTGCCAAGAAAGCCTGGGAGTGAGTGACATTTTCCTGGTTGGGAACATATGATCCTTAGCATTTACGTATTGGTGGTTACAATTTGTATTTTCATATTGTCTGCTGAACCTGTGAGTTTAAATATCGATTGCTTTGATAGATGCAACTGTTGCTGCAGACCTTATTAATTGCTGACCAGCTTGAAACATCTCTTGTATCACTCAGGGAAATTCCAAAGGCCCATTCGGTTCTGTAAGCCCCACAAGTGGGACAACTTGAAACGAAAATACAAGGTAATGATGTTGTCATTTTTGCGTTTACTCTTGTGTGTCTGTGAAACCATGGTTGTGTCTGCTCAGCATGCTGATGTATAACTTTACCTCTTGTTTGTGTTTTTGTAGGAGTTGAGATGCCCCCCAACCGGGACAGGGACCGACAGGGGAGAGGCCACAGCAGCCACATGGCCATATTTTACGGCCATGCATGAGGCCATCGGTGGGAGGCCATCCATCGACCCTCCCACCCTGATGGACTCGGCCACTGCTGCTGTGGCTTCTGGCAGTGGCTCAACATCCACTGAGGCTGTCCAGAGCCAGGCTACAGTGGAGGATGAGGAGGCCGCCAAGTCTGGCTCGGACAGCCAGGAGGATGTTGAGCCATCCACCTCTGCTGGTCCCCCTCCCCGGAAAAAAAGAAAACGCAGTTTATTGCAGTTCCTGGAGGCGGAGGCGGCCAAGGAGGAGGAGGCGGCCAAGGAGGAGGACCGCTTCAACCGCCAGCAGGCAGCCAGTGAGGAAACCTCCAAAAGATTCCTCGACTTATTTGAAACGTTAGTTCGAAAAGAATAGTTTCCGTTCTTTGTTTTTCGTTTGGTTTGGATTTGTTATATTGTTTTGTGTGACGTTTATGAAAATATTTAAGTTTGGAATAAATATTAAGTTTGTCGTTAAATCAGTAGCCTTCTTTACAGTTCGAAATACAGAACAAAAACCAACACATGTTTACTGAAAATATACAAGGAGATCTTTATTTGTATACAAAGCTCAATATGTTATGATTGTGACATGACTAAAAAGCCAACGTTTTTAAACTCATTGTGCAACCCAAGGTATACTGAAACTCATAATGACCACTTTCATTTCTGAATTGTAAATCTCCTCCTCATAATTCTGCGCCTAAACCAACCATGTGTAAATTATCCAAATGCAATATCAGGGATGTTTTATTAATAAATCAATACAAATTGAGTCAAGTTACTGCAGCTCAAGCCCTATAAGTACAATTACTAACACATGTATCTTCTTTCTTTTAAAGTTCAGTCAAAGCATACCAATATTTTATTCAATTCAATTCAATACCTTTATTTATCCAGGTAAAATCCCATTGAGATCAATGATCTCTTTTTCAAGGGAGACCTGCAGCAGTAGGTTCCACAAGAAGACATAAAAACATAAACAACAGAACAACAAAAGGACATCATACAGAAAAATGACTGAACATGACTCCATTTCAACACTAAACGTAACACTTTCAGATGAAATTCTGTGATGGCCTATTTCACATCCCATACAATTTGTAATAAAGACATGTGTCTGTAAAGTCCTTTGCTCTAAATAAACATGAGCAAGGTGACATTGGAAATAAGGCTTATACAGTTGCAAGAAAAAGTATGTGAACCCTTTGGAACTACCTGGATTTCTGCATAAGTTGGTCATAAAATGTTGGCAGCAATAACCTCAACCAAACGTTTCCTATAGTTGCATATCAGACCTGCACAACGGTCAGGAGGAATTTTGGACCATTCCTCTTTACACAACTGTTTCAGTTCAGCAATATTCTTGGGATGTCTGGTGTGAATCGCTCTCTTGAGGTCATGCCACAGCATCTCAATTGGGTTGAGGTCAGGACTCTGACTGGGCCACTCCAGAAGGCGTATTTTCTTCTGTTGAAGCCATTCTATTGTTGATTTACTTCTGTGCTTTGGGTTGTTGTCCTGTTGCATCACCCATCTTCTGTTGAGCTTCAATTTGTAGACAGATGGCCTTAAGTTCTCCAGCAAAATGTCTTGATAAACTTGAGAATTCATTTTTCCGTCGATGATGGCAATCTGTCCAGGCCCTGAGGCAACAAAGCAGCCCCAAACCATGATGCTCCCTCCACCATACTTCACAGTTGGGATGAGGTTTTGATGTTGGTCAGGACATGGTTAAACCGTACACCCCAGCACGTGTACTCCGCTCTGCATCAACCAAACGGCTCGATGCACCCTCGCTGCGAAGGGGACCCAAGTTCCCATCAGTAAAAACACGTGGGTTTGCTATCCTGGCTCCAAAATGGTGGAATGAGCTCCCCATTGAAATCAGGACAGCAGAAAGCTTACACACCTTCCGGCGCAGACTGAAAACTCATCTCTTTCGACTCCACTTCGAGCAATAGAACTATTAACAAAGCACTTATATACTAATAAAGGACTGGCTTACCTAAAGCCAGTTGAGTAGCACTTGAAATGTTTTTGCTCTATGAAACCTGATGTACTTATATGATTCTGTTTTCTTCAATGTTGTATTTTGTTGGTCGAACGCACTTATTGTAAGTCGCTTTGGATAAAAGCGTCAGCTAAATGCAATGTAATGTAATGGTGTGCTGTGCCTTTTTTTCTCAACACATAGCGTTGTGTGTTCCTTCCAAAAAACTCAACTTTGGTTTCATCTGTCCACAGAATATTTTGCCAGTAGTGCTGTGGAACATCCAGGTGCTCTTTTGCAAACTTCAAACGTGGACAGCAGTGGCTTCCTCTGACCAACGTATGCAGAAATCCAGGTAATTCCAAAGGGTTCACATACTTTTTCTTGCAACTGTAAATGGCACAAACAAAAGAACAGAGTAATGCATCTGGCCAGTAAATGCATTTTTAACCTGTCAACAAAACTAATGGGTAACAAAAAAACTGGCCAAAAATATATATCCTCTCAGCAGTAATCATGGTCGTGCAGCTGGACTGGGTTGTGGTCAGGAGCCGAGATTTGGTCTGCCAGTCTGTCTCTCCTCCGGCCCTGTCCACCTCGCTCCCCCCTCACAGGACGAGGTGGAGACCTCTCTACCCCCCCCTGCTCCTCCTCCTCTAACAGTTCAAGAATGTCTCCTGCAGTAAGGCAGATGTTGTGTAGGACACAGCAGGCAGTGACCACAGCAGGGACAAAGTTATGGTTGACCTCCAAGGCCTTCGTCAGGAGGCACCTCCATCGCACATTCAGTTTCCCGAAGGCGCGCTGTATTATGCTGCGCGCTTTTGCATGGCAGCCGTTGAATCGGCTCTGTACCCTCCCCTGTAGTGGCTCCCGATACGGGGTTACAATAATTATGGGGTGTACAATGCAGGGGTAGCCACCATCCCCCACAATGAAGTACCCTGGAGGAGGGTAAAGAGCCTCTTTATAGAGGGCACTGTGCTTCATGACACGGGTGTCGTGGACTGAGCCCGGAAATCCTACAAATGTTGGTAGGAATCTCCCTTTCCCATCGCATACAGCCTGCAGCTGTATGGATGGGAAGAGCTTCCTATTCACGTAATCCTGGCCAGTGGGTCCGGATGGGGTCCGGATGGGGTCCGGATGGGGCCCTGATGCGTATGTGGCACCCGTCTATTGCACCCACACAGGAACTGAATGCCGGGCTGTTGGCCAACTGCTGGAAGCCCCGACCTCCTCCAGCTCTGGACCAGCAGGCAGCTTGATGAGGGAATGCCGGAGAGCAGCAATGTCCACCACTCCCTGGTGGACCAGTCTGTGGACTGTGGAGAGGGGTACCTGAAAGACTTTCTACCAATCTGGCAGAAAGTGTGTTTTTAAAAAACAGTGTAGCCCTCCACCTCTTTGGAGTTTGCGATTCATATGAAAAGCCACATGATCGGGTAAAAAATTGTCAACAGTGTTTGAGTCAGTTTGTCAGGTCTCAGAGATTGCAATAGGCGCTTTAAACACCGGAGTAATTTTCCCAGGAATAGTTCCGATAGTTCTTGAGATTTTGCGTTCACACCAAAAAGATCTGGAACTAGAACTTAGTTTGTGTGAACCTTTTCACCCCCAGATAGTTCCTGCTAGAGAGCAGGGATTTCCTGGGGAGAAAAAGGTTCGTGGCTGTGTCGGCCACATTAACAATTTCTGATTGGCTGGGCGAATTGCAAACCACGCCCCGTAAAACTCAGAAATGTTTTGTGAAGCCGCCATTTTATTTGCTCGCATTAGCATTATTAGCATTAGCATTAACCCAGCTCACCAACTGAGAGAGACTAACTTATGGCAACACAAAATATAACATGAGAGTGGTGGAGTGATGAGGAGGTGTCAGCGCTTCTGGCGATTTACTCGGAAGATGCTAACCAGCAGCTTCTACTGAAGCCAGTCCCCAGTATTTTCTGTGTTAGAGTTTTACTCCCTACAGGGTGTATTTGAGGGTTTGTTACTTTGCACACCATGCTGAAAAACCTACATAACACACAAGGGAACGGGTAATAACCCGAAAAGCATATGATGGGACCTTTAATATTATTGCTTCCTACTAACTTAATACAGTTATTTGAAACGTGTTGACATATTACATTTAATTAAAGTCAACATTTCCTGCTGTGTGAGTAAAGATATAATTCCCGCAGTGTGACTCACCCAGCGTCTGTCCGGCCAGCACCCTCCCGTTCTCCCCCATCACGGCCCCCTGGGCGCGCCTCTCGCTGGCGTACTGGATGAAGGCGTAGCCCTTGTGCACGGAGCAGCCCAGAACACGGCCGTACTTTGAGAAGATGGTCTCCACGTCCGACTTCTTCACCACCGCAGTGTTCAGGTTGCCGATGAACACCCGGGAGTTGATGGACTTTGGATCCGTCTTGTTGGTCACGTTGCTGGTCTGCACCTTCAGCGACATGGCCGACAGGTGGGCGGAGGAAGAGACTGACAAATGCATGGATCGTGGAGGTGGGATCTAAAGAGAACACAAGAGAACTGGTGTCAGAAGAAAATACAGATACTAGAGCACTTCTGCAAAATATTGTACTTTTCCCCGTCATTCTTAAAGTACCGATACTAATGAAACGGAGGAATCGTAACGTTTTTAACGGCAGGGTATCGCGGTACCTTTCAAGTATCAGTACACCGTGCAACACTAATTTCAAGCACGTGGGGACTTTTGCTTGGGCCAAGGACAGGTTGAAGATGTCAGTCAGGACCCTGGTCAGCTGCTCAGCACAAGAGCTGAGTACACATCCGGGGATGCCATCGGGGCCAGCGGCCTTACGTGTGTTTGTCCTGCTCAGTTCAGCATGCACATCTGTGGGGGAGAGTGTGAGGGGCAGATGGTCTGCAGGGAGAGTGGCCCAAGTGGCTACCTCGTGATTGACCCTGTCAAAACGAGCATATAAATAATTAAGCTCATCTGGAAGAGAGGGGTCAGTGGACGGGGGGGAGGCCCGGGTGGGTTTGAGGTCTGTAACCCCTGCCACATGCGTCGGGGGTCAGAGGTGTTAAAGTGCTCCTCAATCTTTAGCTTGTGGTAGTGCTTCGCCCTTTTGTTGCCCCGTTTCAGCTCAGCCCTGGCTAGACGGCAGTCCTGTGCGTCTCCTGACCTGAAGGCGGTGTCACGTGCCTTCAGCAGTTGGAGGACCTGCCCATCCAGCCATGGCTTCTGATTAGGGAAGATTTTGATCTGTTTGGTGGTGGTGGAATCACTGATGTAGGTGTTGATGAAATCCAAAACAGAAGAGGTGTATGCGTCAATGTCTATTTGGGAATCCATAGTGGCAGTTACAGCTAAGTTGTTCCAGTTGGTGATTTGAAGCTGATGCTGTAAATTGCACTCTGCTCCCTCAGGCCAGACTTTCACTGTATTGACCTATGGCTTGACTCGTCTGATAAGGGGGTGGTATTTGGGTAGAAGGAACAGTGAGATATGTTCTGACTGACCCAGGTGGGGGAGAGGGAGGGCCTTATATGCATCTTTGATATTGGTATATACATGATCCAGGGTCCTATCTCCTCTAGAGATATTTTGGTGGAATTTGGGGAGAACAGTCTTTAGATTGGAGTGATTGAAATCTCCAGCAATGATGAAGACAGACTCCGGGTGTAATGTCTGTTGCGTGCTAATGGCTACATGCAGTTCCTTGATAGCTAGCTTAGCATTAGCATCGGGTGGTATATAGGCTGCAATTGTAATGATGGAAGTGAAAGTTACAACTAAAGTTTACACCAAAACTAAAGCAAATCAAATATTGTTTGACAAGCATCAACATGCTATGAATATTGTTAGAAATTAAAATCAATATTTGATGATATAAGATAGATTAAACACCAGTACTTTTATAACTGTTTTATTGTGAAAATACTTCCGGTTAGCTTTCGCCTGTGGTTCAAGTTTATTTGAAAAGCTATTCCGGAAGGATCTCCAAAATACCAACAGTAGCTTGACTTCAGGTTTTAGGGAAAAGTAACGATTGCAGCCGTTAAAATGTATTAAATGAAAAGTCATGAAAGAGATAAGGAGGAGAAAAGGCGTGTTTAGTTATGTATTGAATGTACAATGTCAAAATCCTCTGTTATGTGCGATATCGGACATTGGTGAAAGGAGGGCGGAAGATTACGCCACAGCCGCCATTGAAGAGGAGGAGCCAAATGATATATATCCTTCTCACTTCGGTTAAATGGATTCCTTGCTTCCCTCACTTGCGTCGTTTCCCTGCGTCTAGTCCCTCCCACCAGGGAAGCATGGAGGGACACAAGGAAACCACGAGAAGCATGAGAGACTTCTCAATACTCAAATTTCCCCTCCTCGACTGCTCGACTCCTCGGTCCTCCGGTAGTGACCCGGAAATGAATTTCAGCGCGCCATTTTGAAGGACGTCTCATTTCTCTAAATGCACACCGAGGACCGAGCATCGAGCGTCGAGGAGGCTCTCTGGAGGAGCTATAACCGAGGATACACTGATGGTTCCTCCACGGCTCCTCCGCGGATGCATTTCCGGGAACGGTGGAGGCGTGACGCACGGCCGGACTTATCTCAGCCAATGACAGCTATGCATGCATCCCCTGGATATTATTTTAGAAACTGCTTTCATCGCGTCGCGATCTTTCCAGAGAGAACAGCTGTAAGGTCCGTGCAGAAAGCAGAGCAGTGTGTATAATATATATCACTCAGTATAACAGGCCTACTCTCCCAGTGAGCTGTGGTGTTCCACAAGGAAGCATATTAGGTCCGTTACTGTTCCTAATTTATGTAAATGACATGTCATCAGCATGTGACTGCAACTTGTTCCTGTTCGCGGACGACTCAGCCCTGCTGGTCTCTGGCAGGAACAGGTTGCAGGTTGAAAAAACCCTCAGCTCCGAGCTCGGAAGAATCTGCACCTGGCTCGCCGATAATAAATTATCATTACACCTGGGTAAAACAGAGTCCATTCTCTTCGGTTCGAAACATAATCTCAGCAAATCCGACGACTTCTCAGTTGCAGTGGGCGACATTATTGTCACAAGTAAGAAGGAAATTACATACCTAGGATCTATTCTTGAGGCAAACCTCTCCTGTGACAAAATGGCATCCAATGTAATAAAAAAAGTCAATCAAAGAACTAGATTCCTATACCGGATCTCATCTCTGGTAAACAAAAACACCCTGAAAACTCTGGCAAGAGCACTCATTCAAGGGTACTATGACTATGCTTGCACGTCATGGTACCATAGCACCTCCAAGGCGCTAAAAATAAAACTTCAAACATCGCAAAATAAACTGGTCAGACTACTGCTTGACCTCTCATCTAGAACCCACCTCACCTCTGCCCACTTTGACAACCTAGGATGGCTTAGAGTAGACGACAGAGTACAGCTACTTGCAATGGGCCTGGTCTACAAGATCCACTACACCTCTATGGTACCCATGTACATGTCAAAATTATTCCCAAAGGTCAAGGAATACCATAATCATAACACCAGAGGGAGCTCCACAAATCATGTGAAACCCAGATTTGGCACAAAAAAGGGGGAATACACGTTTCGCAATTATGCCACATCAAGGTGGAACGCTCTTCCCACAACTGTAAAGGAAAGTAAAACTATACTTACCTTCAAAACCTCTCTTAAAGAGCACCTTCGGGGGAGAGCATTGCAAAACTGGCCCCGGTAATGGTACAAATCTCAACCTGTCGTTCAATGGACAGCTTCCCCCCCCCCCCATCTATGTATATACTCGCATTTTAGACTCTGTTACTAACTGTATATCTGTAGACTTGGTATGTCTTAAATGTCCGGTTAGGATGTATTAGAACGAAATCTAAAATGAAAATTGTAAATAAGCAATCTGTATGTAAGAAAAAACCACCTGTATGTAAATTGTAAATAAGCCATCTGTATGTCAAATATGTCTTATATGTCTTAAATGATATGATGAATTGGAAATGGGGGACCCTGATGTAAACAAGACGAAAGTCTTTCTCTGGTCTGCATCCCCTTAACAATTGTATGTTTTGAGCTGTACTGTACTGTACCCAATATACAAGCTGTTAATAAACTTTTCAATCAATCAATCAAACTCTCTTTATTTGCTTTAGTTTAGTAGATATCTACAAACAAAGAGTCGATATTCTTCTAAGACCATTGCTTCACATAATAAAATACACAACGGCTTATGCTTTAGGAGCTGTAGGTGTGTGTGGTACAGTGTGTAGGTGTGTGTTGTACAGTGCGTAAATGCGGCGGACAGACGGGTCTCAGTTGGTTTGGTGTCCTCTGCTTACTTTTAATAGGCCTACTTGTAAATACAACTTTTGGCCCGTAATTTCAATTCCCCATTTCAGCGACCAGAGAGAGGGGGGGATATATCCAGTCTCTTATTGTGTTACGTTATTATGAGAGTGCTCTCATACTTTAAATTATATATAGTTATTTAAATATATTTGTGTGTGTGTGTCCGCATCTGTAGTCTGTTATTGTCTCATTATACCGCACTCTCAATGAATTCAAAGTAAATATGTGGGGGAACAATGTTCAGCTGATCTAACAGAGATACAGCGCTATGACAAAACACTCGACAGCTGATGCAGCTGTTGCCACGTAATAATGAACAGACGTCTCTTTAAAATGACCGCTCAGAGGAGAGGAGTTCTCATTTCTTTAAACATCTGCTGCTTCCCCTCCTCTCTCCTCGGTTCCCCTCCTCGGTCCTCCGCTCGCATCTCCTGTGGGCGGGTCTAAGTCTCGAGGAGGGGAGTCGAGGAGGGGAGTCGAGGACGGGACATTTGAGTATTGAGAAGCCTCTAGGGAAATCAGTTTTAAGAGCAATGGGACGTCCTTTCCTCCGGAGCGTCACGTCAAGCGACGTCCGTTTGTGATGACGCTGCACAGCTGATCGTCTGACAGCAGCTCTGTCCCCGTTGTTTCCACACACACCCCCGCCTCTGTTAGTACACATTTACTGACACAAACATTTGTATCATCTGTTGTAGACCCCAATAAATAAAATAAAATAAGAACTCATTCTCAAAAAAGATAAACGCCATTCTTAAAATGTATAAACGAACAATAGTTTGATTAATATTGATTAGAGTGCACAATAGAAATAAAATAATTGAGAGAAGAAAAAGAGATATATTATCTATCAAAACCCAGTTAGATTAACATTCACTGGATTGCACACTTTGTTTGTTTGTTTGGATATGTAGCACATTAACATTTTAATAGCACTTAATGACTGACTGAATGGAAATGACAATAAATGAAAATGTAAAACGAAAAAAGCGATCATGAAAATGTTTCCAATAAATGAATAGAATGATTTTTGACCACTTTGTTGTTCAGATATATCACATATTTCTAACTAAATTAAACATGAATTGAAACAAAACACGGTATAAACTGAGGAGTGACTCCCGTGAGGTTCATGTATTTTCTTCACTCCGCTGGGAAACTGCTCTCATGTCAAGAAGCATCAGATCAGTGCATGCACTGCATCGTCCAATCAGTGAGCGATACACAGTAAGGGGGCGGCGCGAGTATCTGAGGATTTCATCGGAGGATGGTCTGGTGGTTCCTCGATTATAGGCAGCTCCTCCATTAACGCTCCTCGCTCCTCGATCCTCTGGCAGAAATAAGGCCATTGGGACGCTACCAAGCGGCAAACTGTGGGGTAGAGCCGGGAAGCCAATACGGAAGTGCCACACACTGCAGTTCATATATTGGCCGATAGGCGATGGCTGCAGAAAGGAGCAATTTCCATAGACCCCCATGTTAAAATGCCCCATTTTACAGCAGAAAAAAACATGTTTCTACCCCTGGCTCCATACATTTTATTATCAATATAGTTAGATTCC